AGAGAGAGAGAGAGAGAGAGAGAGAGAGAGAGAGAGAGAGAGCACGTACCCAGCGAGGACGGCGAGTGAGAATTGCATGATGCTGGTTGCTTGGATGAGGTTGTTGGGCTGATTGATGTAGAAGAGAGTGGACTGGATGATGAGTATCTGTCGTCGCAACGGAGCTGTTATTATATATCTTTTAGACGATATCACAAGAATTCATACTTTCCCAAACCAGAAGCTTGCCCGTGCTGCCAAGGGACCGCACTTCCCGGGGCCGAGGATGTTTAGCTAACGGCCAACGTTATAAGTTATTGTGTGATCAAGAATGGCAAGTAATAAAGTTGTACAATAAGACAAGTCCGAGCGTATCGGGCCATATGAGTCCTCACCTGCCTGGTTGTAGGGTGCTGGGCGGAGTTGACCTTCGACATCGACCTCCACCCCCAGATCCAGACCCACAGTCATCAATACCGGGAGTCACCCACATCCATATCCCCAAGCTGCTAAGCCGCTACCGGTATGCTGCTGAGCTGCTAAGCACCTCTCAACTCATACCGGAAATTCGCCAGATCTCCCGGATCCACACCCCCAATGACCCACTTTGCGGCGACCGAAACTCCGTAGACCGCGGCCGGCAGCCACGCAAATCCGGCCCACACCGCCACCCCCTTCCTCTGGACCATGCTACCCAGCCCGAGCAGGATCACACAGAGACCGACATTCAGGTACGGCAAGAATTGTTTTATGGGGCCGTCATTTGCGGCTAGCAGTGCCTCTCTGCGTGCCGCCATGCTTTTCGGCTCGGCGTTGGCTCGGTCGACGAAGGCGAGCCCGGTCTGGCCGGGAGGAGAGGTATGAACCATGTAGGCCGTTGAGAGGAGGGAAGTGATGCTGAGGACGGAGAGGAGCCTTGTCGGGCCGCTGAAGATGGTGGAGAGGTAGGGAGTGCAGCAGAGGAGGGAGATGATGAGGAGGGCTGTGATGTATTGCTGGTTTCGTCTTTGATTCTCTTCCTTCAGGGTCTGAATAAGGGACTCTTGTTCTGTCAGAGCCGTGTCAGTATGTATATGCTCTATAGCTGTATGTCGAGAGAAGGCTGGAAAACGATAGGTGAGGAGGGGCAATGATACCTTCCTCATCCATCACATCTTGAGTCTCATCCTCGGAGTCATTGTCTGTAGGGTACCTGAAAGTTTTCCGCAATCGCGCGGTGGTTTGTTCCATCTTCATCTTCAGGTGGTGTCGGGTGTGTCCGAGTCGATGTTGGACAATCAATCACAGGCCCGGTTTTTGGCTGTCAGCCTCGCCAAAGGAAGCGCCATCCCACCTACACTTTACCGCCGCAAGTTCCGCAAGTTCACCACAAGTTCCTAAATTCCCGTAACAAGATGTTACCACGACTACTGCGCTCGAGGGTGCTTTTCAGAGCTAGGCCCGTCATTCAGAGGAACTTGGTGCCCAAGAGGACATTGATTGCGCCGCCCAAGCCTGGAGATGGCCCCTTACTATCGAGAAGAGCTGATCGGGAACTCCCAGGTACTGTCCCTCGCCCCCCAACACATGAAGATCAATTGACTGATTCCGATTACCGACCTCCCCGAAAACGGCATGAGATGGGTGCGCACTGTTCCCATCTTTCTCGTCATCCTGATCTCGTCCTGTCTCGGCATTTTCAACTACCAAAAGTCCTCGAGCAGCGTCGTCTCCTCAACCATGTACGCCCTGCGCACCTCCCCCAAAGCGCAGGAGGTGCTAGGGGCTGAGATCTACTTCAAGAGTCAGATGCCGTGGATCTGGGGGGAGATGAATATGCTGCATGGGAAGATTGACATCCATTTTGAGGTCAAGGGACAGAAGACTAGCGGGACGATGACCTTTAAGAGTCATAGGCCGACGAGACAGGGCATGTTCGTTACGACGGAGTGGAGTTTGGAGACGAAGGAAGGGGTCAAGATTGATTTGCTGGATGCAGGGGATCCATTCAAGGGCATCGAGCTGAGCGAGGAGGAGCCCAAGGTAGTTGGGAGAGGCTCATATGCCCCGAACCTGTCGGGATGAGATGGAAGACTTGGCCTTTCATACAGTGATTGTAGGATTGGTAGCGTGGGCATTGAGACGGCGTTGAAAGTATCTCTCATATCAATATGCTCGGTGCATGTATTGTACAAGATATCTACTGTACAATGTTCTTGCTTTACGCCGTCACCACCGCATCTCTGCTTTCTCCCGCCACGGGAATCTTTGGCCATGGCTTCTTGATCGCGTCCTGGATCTTGACAATACATCCCTTGGGCCCAGCAACGCAACCATTGAGAACCAACAGTCCGTTGACCGGGTCCACCTTCAGCACCTTCACGTTCTGAATCGTAACCTGATTTCCTCCCATCCGTCCCGGCATCTTCTTTCCCGGCAACACTCTGGAACCGCTTCCCTGCGACGCACCCGAAGAACCCATGGCACGATGCGTCTTCGAGTTACCATGAGAAGCAGGCTGACCTTTAAAGCCCCATCTCTTCATGCCTCCCGCCCATCCCATACCCCTACAATCAGACCTGGTATCCACGAACTGGCCTTCCATGAACCACTCCGGCCCAATCGACTGTCCAACCTTCAAAAGTCCCTCCTTATTCTTGACCCTGAACTCGGACAAGAATCTCTTGGGGCTCACTTCTGCGCCTGCAAAATGTCCCAGCAGAGGCCTCGTAACATTTGTCGGATGCTTCCACCCAGCTCCCATCTGCACAGCGTAGTATCCATGCCTCTCCCTCGTCTTGTGAGACACCACTTGCACTCTGTCGAACTGCAAGACCGTACACGGCGTCCTGACTCCCGTCTCTGCATCATACAGCGCCGTCATCCCCTTCTTCACAGCCAAGGCTCCCGTCCTCAGGGGAAGCGAAGAGTCTTTCCGTGCGAGTGCTGCGGCGGGCGAATGTTCGAGGACCGGCAATCCTGCTGTCTTTTGGTTGAAGCGGTTGGGCTTGCCTCGAGCTGGGGCAGTCGTCCATCCGTATTTGACACCGCGCTTGGCCGTCAGTGGAAGAAATTCGCTAGGGAGGAGGAAGGAGGGTGGCAGTCGTGCCCAGCTTGTAGGCAGCCTGGGTGCCATGATGCGTAGGCTGTTGTTTTGGATGGGAAAGTTAGAGAGAGCTTAATAGGATTTGTGCTAGGACGGCGGCTACTGCGGGGCGGAAGAGGCCAAGTGCGCAGCCAATATCAAAAGGATTTCCTCGCCAAAGATATTGCGTGTGACAGGTATGGAACGGTGATGAATTTGGTGCTCAGCCGCGATGGTCTATTACTTCACTTCCAATGTGGTCTCCCCTTCCGCTGATATCTATGCGGGCAAGGATAAAGTCGAAAGTAAGTCTCCTCAAAAGTTATGGAATTTATTAGGCGTCGTTACGAATAACACCTTGCAGATGAGGATCTCATAAAATATGGCCTTGAGGAGGATGTCTGGTTCCATGCCGACAAGCTGTCAAGTGCCCATATTTACCTCCGAATGAAAGCGGGCGAAAGCTGGGAGGCTATTGACGAGGGAATCCTGACCGATTGTGCTCAATTGACTAAGGCCAATTCCATCGAAGGTGTGTGGTCCTAGAAAGAACAATTGGCACGTGATGCTCATTTTTGGGGGTTGAAAGGGAACAAGAAGGACAATGTGACTATTATCTACACCCCATGGGCAAACCTCAAGAAGGATGGGTCTATGGCTGTCGGTCAAGTTGGTTTCAAGGATCCTCGGAAGGTTTGTTACCTCGAGCACAACAGCGGAAACGGGTGCTGAGCTTGTCAATAGGTGAAAAAGATCTTGGTTCCGCAAAGAGAGAACCCTATCGTCAATCGTCTGAACAAGACAAAGATCGAGAAGTTCCCGGATCTTCAGATGGAGAGGGAAGAAAAGCTGAAGGCTATCAGGAAGAGAGATCAAGCTGCCAGATTAGAAAGGGTAAGTACAGCATCATCTCTGTGTCTATCTGCCCGCGCGCTCATGTTATTGTAGAAGAAAGAAGAGGCTAGAGTGGCCGAGGAGCGGAAGCAGAAAAAGTGGCAGAAGGATCATGCCTATGATGAAATGTTCCAGGAGCAAGACCCTGAAGTGCCGAACAACCAGGATGGTTACGACTCCGACGATTTTATGTAGTCTTGCGAAACGCATCAGATCAAAGCCAGGTGTGATCCCCGAGAAACTTCTTGGCTTCGATAAAGTAGGTAGGTTCTAACGCAAAAATATCTGGTATCATTGATGTTCTGCATGAATCATTAGCTATTGGATTACATGCGACTTTGGAGCATAACTGGATTACTTACTTACTTCAGCGCCTGAGTTAAACGCCGTTCATTCCCTACCCATTCCATGCACTTCCATTCTTTCCCTGATCATCTCCGGTCCATACTCTCAATGGCTTCCCCCAAGATGACTGCTCATGTGATTGTTCGCAGTCCCCTTCGTTGCATGATCACTCGGGTTCGCCGCCGCCTCATAGATGATGTTCGTCGGCGCCCTTCCAAGCTGCATCCAATCTCCCTTGAACCCCAAGTAACTAATTCTCGTCTCGCTATCCCCATAATTATCCTCCACAAATAGCGTCAAGCTCTGCACCTTCCCAAACAGCGCTCTTTTGACCTGGATATCCTGAACCTCAGAGGTTTGCGAGAGCTTGAATTCTTGAGTCGGGGAGAGGTCGGAGGCGGTTGAGAAATCGATATCGTCGCGGTTGATGAAGACTCTTAGGGTTTGGGGCGCGGAGGACGAGGGCGAGGTGCGGATTAGGATCGAGTGGAGCTTGACTTGTCCGGTGAAGCTGTCACAGCTATTAGCGACTGAGATTTTACGTGGAAATGGGGAATAAAAACGGTATATGTATAAGCAGCTGCTCATCCGCATCGCTCTTAAGCTCCGGCTCAGTTTTCAATCGTTCCGCCCACGTCTTCTTCACGATAGCTTTGCCCGAGTCGCCTCGTGCTTCGTTGAGGGTTGTGATATCGTCGAAGTTGATGTGTTGGTAAAGGGAGTATTGCAAAGCGGGCGTCATGTCGTCGGAGTGGTCATGCCCTGCATGGTCATGGCCAGAATGGTCGTGCTCATCATGGCAGTGACTTGACATTCTGTGTACGGATTGCAGGTTCTTGAACCACCGACCCCAAGGGCTGTGGTCGTTGAGGTGCTGTAAAGACGAGATGTCGGAGTTGAAGCTATTTGGCGGGGTAGATGAGGGAGGGGTAATTTCTGGAAATATTTGAGATCACAACCCTGAAAGATCAAACCAACAGTAACAGGGAAACGAGCCAGAATAGTAATAAATATTATTCGTGTGACGTTCGATAATAAGCAAGAATCAATTGTTATCTATATCGATGTCCGTAGATGTGTGACCCGCGCATAGGAAATGCTAATCGCACATTCTACAACAATTAACCAAGCTTGCTCGTCCTTCAACTTATCCCTAAATATTTTGTTCTCTCACCCAGCCTCCCCAGTCTCGACTCTCATATCATAGCCCCAAGATCCGTCGACATCGATCATCCCATAGTCAATCACACTCTCTCTGTTACTTGAATCCGGCTGTCCTAGACTTCTTCGCTTTTTTCTTCCTCTGGGGCATCGTTCTACTTCCGTAGGCGCCTCCTACTGGCTGAGTCATAGGCATGTCATCCAAAACCTGCGAACTGAACGGATTGTCCGCAGCTTCAGGTTGACTTCCCGAAAAGAAATTGCTCCTTCGAGAAACAGCCGGTTCAACGGCCTTGACGAATTCCTCCGTTCTCCTACGCCTTCTAGCCTTCTCCTTTTTACTCGATCGTCTGACATCGTCGCCTGAATTTGCTGCGGCATGTTTTTGCTTTGCTGTCTCGTACGAATATTTCGCAGGATCGGCTCCTAGTTCCGTAGACCAATGGGACAGAACCGATGCGTTAGTATTTTCTGTCCAGTCGGTTTTCGCCTTGATAGTAGGTGCATAGCGGCGTAGCCTGGCAATAACTGGATCTTCTACTAGCCCCGATACTGAGGTAGCCTGCGAGTGTAGCGATGGTGTTGCTGTAGGTGTTGGGAGCCCAAGCCCATCCTGCATGGTTGCCAGCTGAGAAGAGAATAACACTGGCGAGCTGTCTCTAAAAGATGCATTGTCCTTGCTGACCCCAGGCAAAGTGGCTGTATCTTCATCCAATTGTGTGACTGCATCTGGAACGCTTAGAGCCCTATCCTGAATCGAGATTCCGATGGCGCTGAGGCTGAGTTCCATGGCCAGCTGTCCTATTGCCTTAAATTTGGCATGTCTTGCGACGTTATGCAGGTTAGCCGGTAGGCTAGACATCCAGTAATCTACCAGCTGATCGAAGACGTTTATCAAATCCGGATATTTTGAGTCCGGATCTTCAGGGAATCTGATATTTGATCCTTGTGTCAAGTCCTTTATTGTCAAGATCTGATTTGCTTCTGGGCTCTGCTCCAGCTCTAAGGATTTGAGAAAGTCGCGTAAAGCTGGAGAAGCTTGCTGCAAGTCGTCTCCTGGCATGGGCATCCCAGTGATTTCAGATAACGTGCTATTCTGAAGGTCGTTGTTCTCCATTCCCTGCTTTATACGGCCAACCGCAAAGCTCAGCAGATCTGCAAGCTTTGAATCGCAACCGGGAGGCGTGATCTTCTTCAAGAACACATTCTGGAAAATCCATCTCCAGTCCAGTGTGAGGCGTACCTGGTCATCAACGGGGGACAGCTCTTGGTTGAAGGCGCTGTTTCGTTCAGGAGTGATTATATCAATTTCGTCGTCCGGGACAATGAAGTCATCATCGTTGGCAATCCTGGGGCCGCGATACCGCTGGGAAATGAGAAGTTTCCTTTCTGGTGGCACAATATCAAGTTGTTTGCTTCCCTCGGTCACGGCTGACAAAGTTGAGACCAATCCCAAGTCAGAAGTAAGAGCCCACAGTTGGAAGAATTCCACGCCATCCTCCATGTATTTGGGGCCAGGTCCAGAGGTGTGGCTGGCGCTTGGAATCATTGTGCAAGGTAAAAACTGAACCGTGTGAAATTTAAAGGAACGCCCTTCTTCATCGCTCGAGAAAGATGACAAACTCAGTGTGCCCTTTGATGAGGCTCGAGCTCCGGATCTATCTTTTCGAAAGCTGAAATACTGCAGTACCGGAATTTTCGCAGAAGCGATCGCAACTGAAACTGAGCAATATTAGTAAGTTTACAAGCATCCCGCTAAAGTACTTACCATGGTCGCTGTTGAACAAGGCAAGCTTCATACCCTCGTCCTCCGGACTCATAAAATGAATATACGACAGGATAATCTTGACTGCATTGTTTTTGTCCTTGCTCTGGTTCTCAGTAGGGACAATTTCGAGCCAGAATAGCCGAGTTGTTGTAAGCACAAACAGGTGATTGGAGTCAGAAGTGCTCCGTTTGATGTCAAGTATCCAATCGGTATTTCCTTTGGGAAAAATAATAGCGCGACCGATGAACGTAGTGGCCCCCTTTACGTCGAACACAACAAGATGTCGTCTATTGCAGACAATAATGGTATTGAGGTTGCACACCCACATGATTCGGTACCATCCATCAGCATGGTCAACCAATGAAGCCACCAATGGAGATTTCGAGGAATAATCTTGATCTTGGTCAACATAGATCCCACCGGTCTTTCTGGGAACGAAGCTTTCTGCCCCATCTTTGCCACGCTGTACCTCGAGATCCCAAACACTCCAGTAGCCCTGCGTGTCGACTATTGCGACTTGACGTGGGAACCACGGATTAAAGGCGACATCAGCATGATGTATAGACCCCGTTCTTTGTGTGGTCAGAGAGGCTATTGGATTTGCATCGAGCATCGAAGGAGCAAAAAGTGTCGGATCCTCGTTCACAGGTACGGCAGGCTTCTGAACCCGCCCATATCTCGGCCGGAATACGGTGGTAACACCTTCTTGACGGATCGCAAGCCATATTTCTCTCTCGTCCGCAGCATCTGCGAACACAATCTGACGAATAGTTCCACCGGTACCAACCCAATACCCGGTGTCGAAAGACTCCAAGTTGAGTAGGGACAATCTCGCCCCACTTGCCTTGCCCCATCCCTGTGTTTTCACACGTGGTTTAATGAGTCGAAGAATATGCCCGGCTCCTCCGTAAGGTACAGCCATGATTCGAGGCCTTCGGACACCAGATACCCGATCTACGTCGTGAGCTCTTCCAATCGCGAGTAGCGAACCAGCTTCAGCTGGGCTTTGTAATAAAGTTTGGCATGAGGCTCTGACCAACTTAGATATCAGAGGGCTTGCCGGAACAGACTCTGGCAATTTCTTCGCAAGCCATCTCATCTTGTTTCGGGTGAGAGTCGAAGCCTTGCCATTTTCCTTGCGCCCTACTTGGGCAGAGGGCTCTAGCCACTCTTCCAGAGGGAGCAGCTGTATAATCGATGGAACTGGGTGCACGAGTGAGCGCAAGACTCATAAAATTCGCATTCTATCACTAACCATCCGTAAACTTTTGAGAGAATTTCCATCTTTGTTCTTCAGGATCATATGTTGCTTCTCCCAGTTGACCATGGGAGAGGTCGGTTACCCGATGGTCAGTCATTTGGCTTTTTTCGAGGTCGGATAGCCGCTTTCGATGCGATAGTCATTTCGCTGTTGTTCCCCGCGCGGTTCAGTCCTTCCGATGCGAATGTAAAGACTTACCTACGAAGAGGTGTAGTGACAAGGAGGTTGTCAAAATATGTTTGAGGTGTTCGGTCAGAATTTATTATAGGCTTTTTGCCGGCCCGCCTTCCCTCTTTCAGCCTAAGCCTGATGTTTCCCCGCCAACGCCAACATGAGGCGCCAAACAAAATACCCAGTAGGATGCAATCGGCCTCTATCGCGCCTCGCGACAACTACCCCGTACGCATATCAATAAGCACGACAGACAACTCTCCCCATCGCACAAAATGTCAACCATGTTCGAGCCTCCACTTTCCACCAGCACCATGCGCCCTCCCCTTGCGTCTGCGGATGCACCTTCAATGGCAGACTCTCTGCCAAGTATCAATTTCGGTTTCGATGAATTGCGCGACAGGATGGCTAGATTTACTGCCAAATTCGACACCTTCATCGAACAGGGTCGCAAGCGTGTCCTGGAGGAGAGAAACCAATTTCGCATGAATGTCACGGAGCTCAAAGGTCAGTGCGGATGTGGCGTGGGAATTACTTTTACACAACTGACATCACAACAGAGGACCAGCGCATGAAGAAGCGCGACATCGAGATCCTTTCCCAGAAGTCCAGCACCCACCAGCAGACACTCGCAAAAGAGGAGGCCGAGAAAAATGAGATGAGGACTGCGATTGCCTCGCTCAGCGCGCAACGAGATGCGCACCTTGCGACCCGAGAAAGCCTGAAGCAGCAGATTGCCGATACTCAGAAGCAGATAGATGCACGTCTTGCGGCACAGAGAGCTCATGCACAGCATGTCGATTCTCAAGCGCGGCACAATATCCCAGAAATGGACTTCTGGACTTCGAACCTGTGTATGACTCTAGATGGGGCCGGTCTGAACGACCGATTGAAGTTTATCTTTACACATATCGATGACCGGGACTGGACAAGAGAGGCGTGGTTTGAGTTGGATACTGGGAAGAGGGAATATGAGATTCCGTATTGCAAGCCTAAGCTGGAGAAGGAGCAACTCGAGCGCGTTTTGGACAAGCTGAATGAGAGCCGGGATCTGAGAGTCTTATTGAAGGGTATGAGGGAGCTTTTTGTCGAGGCAGTCAAGGGATAAGGAATTGGATATGCACGGTCGGCGTTCAGGTTCCACTTGCTTTTGGGAAACATCAATCCCCATGACCCTATGTGCAAGTCTTTAGTGACTTGAGTCTTGTCTATTGCGGACGGCAGATGATGGCCTTTGTAAGCCCATACCACACACGTATTCTCACTATCCCCCTGGAACTATGTAAATTTTTCGTCCTCTATAACCCCTCAACTAACTCCTGGCAACAAGTATACTTTCTGACATTTATGTATAATTTTTTCCCTGAAACCCCATAGACAAATTCTCAAATTTGCTAGCACTTGACTTGTTCCTCGTCTGGCACAACACCGCGCTTTTCAGTCAGCGAAGACGTATCATATAGGCCCAGTGCTCCCGCCTTTGCTGAGCGCCCCGCAGACCCTTTGCAATGAAGATCACAGCAATGGATACCCACGACCTAATCGCCCTCTCACTCAGAATTACATACGGATGCTGGAAAGCCAGCGAATAGGGGATCGAGGCAGGGTGCCCGTGATAGATTGTGGTAGGTTGTGTAGAGATAATATGTGATTTATGGAAGGCTATTCAACATTTAAATATACTAAACAAAATTTAATGTGACGTTGGAGCTGTCATGACTTGACTTGTGGTCCTCAGCTGAAAGGCGCGGGGGTCATGGAGTTTCGAAAGCGGGCTGGATCGCGCCGAACGACAACGCGTCGATTCTCTGCGACAGCCATTTTCGCAACACCCAACTCAGCCGTCGACACATTCAAGATGCCGACAGAATCCGCCGGCAAGAACGATAAGCAAGCAAGCCAGGCACAAGCTCGTGAAGTCATCGATGTGTTCCACGAGATCTCGACCCTTCTGGTACCTACACCTTCCGTCACGTTGAGAAGAATCAGCAGGCTGACTTGGTGCTGCAGAACGCAGATCTTGATAGGCAGACATTATCTATTTGTATCTCACTCATCGAGAATGGTATCAATCCCGAGGCGCTTGCGGTAGGTGGGGGCCATTCGAGATGGGAGTAACTGAGGCTGATGTTGTAGCAGTGTGTGATTCGGGAATTGAAGAAGGATGCCGAGGAGACGAGACGAGAGATCCAGAACAGGAGTCAGTGAGTGATATGCGTCGGATCGAACTGGGATTATTGTCAAGAAAGACTATGCTATGGCTTCAACTACTACCGTCTTCTGAAGGGGGGCATGGGTATCAGGGGTTATGGAGGGTTTCGAGTCACGGAGAGACAGTCACACGGGCTCTTTCTTTTGACAGATATTTGGGAAATAGACTCGGAGGAATCGCCGAAGGGTGTTTACGCTGAACTGCGGATTGACGAAGTGCCAAGAAGGATTGGCAGGTTCAGAGGGTAAAGTGATGGATGATACGGTCCGACACCTATGTCAAGATAGGACATGGGTGAACAGAAGATAGTCTGAAGGCGACAGCGGAATTGCCAGCGGGAATGGGGCGGCTTCACCAGGGAAACCTATTATGGTTGACACGGATGAGATCCAATACTACAGCAATGAATCTCAGTCGTCAACCATTGGGTCTATCCGCCAATTCACTAACTTCAAAATTACTTTTCAAATCCTGCTTCCCTTTAGATCCGTTTAAAAAACGCTCCAGTATCTCTTATACCGATCCCGTCCTTCATGTGGGCATGGTTTCGTCTTCTGGCGCTCATCGAAGAGTCTTCCTGGTCCAACGCTCCATTCAATGTTTTGGAGGAGTCGACACGAGCACTTCTCCGTAGGTAAAGTCTCCCATTAGAGGCTCTTGAAAAAACAAGGAGCTTCCACAACCCCTTGGAAGTATTCCCGTATTTCCATTGAGACACGCTCTCGATACCGCTCCGGGAGCTCATCGCAAGCACAGACCCATACTATCGTTAAGCATAGCAAGCGTCATCTGATAATTGATTCTCGAAGTCTTTATTATCTTCTCTCTGAGAGGCGACTGAGCAGGTCTCATCCTGCTAAAATTTTAGTGAGACGTTCTATAGAGCCATTTTCAGATACCAACAAGCGATTAGCCTCTATAGCCTCTCTAGCCTCGCAATACTTTGTATGCAACAAAGATTTGACAATCCGATGCTCAAGCCCTCGTTCCTGAGCTGCATACTGGAGGAACTCGATAGTTCTGTATACTTTTGCCTTATTGAAGGTAGACGGATCGTCCTTGCGAAATGCGGTTCTCAGCTGGTCGCGTGCTAGATATCGAGCTGGCTTGGAATACTGAACGGCGTGAAGGAGCCCGCGGTAGAGATGGCGGTACGCATGGATTATTTCGGAGGGATTTGAGGTCGTCATGGGGAACTGGAATTGCATCGCATCAAACGTCAATCTGCACGGAACTTTGGGGGTTTACAGAATATATGGACGGACGGAGTAGAGAAGCACATCACGTGGTGATTAGATGCGGCGCTAGTGACCAGGGTAAAGGTAGGTCGTCATTGCCGGATCTAGTGTCCGACTCGACCTGACCAAGTAACTTACATCGCAAAACCTCGACGCTCAGAATATCCTTTCGTTGTGGCAGATCAGACACATGTTCACTCAATGAGCTCTCTGGTGTCCGAATTTCTTATTAATCCAGTCCTTCGCCACGCTCGTCGATTCTCGCGCTCCGATCCTGAGACCGATCACATCGATCCCGTCACGAATCAACGGACAGCCCTCGATAGTACCCATGAGGATGCCATTGAGGACATAGCCGAGCGCCTGGAGGCTCTGGGAGGGAGCAGAAACGGAGAACACGGCGGCGCAGAAACAATATCGGGCTCGGCTTTGACGTCGTCTCCGATAGAGGAGCATGGGGGACTCGATGCAGAGCCTAGAGTTCTCGAAGAAATCCGGGACCGAAGTGCGCCATCGACAAGCAGTGGCGGGATGCCACACAGATCATCATCGCTTCGGTCAGATCCTGGTCAAGTCGACGACGAAATGACTGACAACCCTTCTTTTGGAATCCCGAACCGATTTCGAGCAAATTCGGCCGCGAGCACCACGTTTAGTACTCGCAATTCTACAAGTGCAATGAGTGCCACCGACATTCCACCCAGACGAAATGCTCGCGAGAGAGGCCAGCCTGGGTCTGCCAGTCGTACGAAAAACAGCTCTTTACCAGAAGATGATGGAATGGGCGCCCTGAGACAACAAATTATCCACATACAAGCCATGGAAATCCCAGCGGACCAAAAGGCTCGGTTCATGCAACAGCTCCTCACTCGACAATACTCAGAGGCGCAAGAGATATTCCATGCTAAGCAGCAGCAGCCAACTGCGCCGTCTCCTGCAAGCATGATCAGCCAGGAGAGACCTGTTGGGCCAGGCTCGTTGAGCTCATTCTTGTGGCAGATGAACGGCGACGATGAGCTGCCGGCCACCGATCAGCAGCATACATTTCACTTGTCACCAGGTGATCTGGAACAGACCTACGCGCCTCCAGATCCACCCGAAACCGACGAGGATGGGAATGTTATTGTAAAAGACGAGGTCGAAGTCCTAGGCTGCACGCACTACAAAAGAAACGTGAAGCTGCAGTGTTCAGCGTGTGATAAATGGTATACGTGCAGATTATGCCATGATGAGGCTGAGGATCACATACTAGATCGCAAGGCAACCAAAAACATGCTCTGCATGATATGCTCTTGTGCGCAACGTGCTGGTGAGTTCTGCGTCAACTGTGGGGAGAGGACAGCTTGGTATTATTGTGGAGTCTGCAAGCTCTGGGACAACGATGCCGACAAAAGTATATACCACTGTAATGATTGTGGTATATGTAGAAAAGGCCGTGGTCTCGGGAAAGATGTGTTTCATTGCAAGGTCAGCGTGATAGGATATTTCTGTCGAGACAAAAGCTTACTCTTTACAGACCTGCGGTACATGCATGTCAATGGCCAACGAGAAATCCCACAAATGCATCGAACGAGTGTCCGATTGCGACTGTCCCATATGCGGAGAATACATGTTTACTTCTCCTTCGCCTGTCGTTTTTATGCTCTGTGGCCACGGCATCCATAGAGCCTGTTATGACAGACACATGAAGTCTTCATACAAATGTCCTATATGCAGCAAAAGCACGGTCAATATGGAAACCCAGTTCCGGAATTTAGACCGGGCTATCGACGCCCAGCCTATGCCTCCTCAATTCCGAGATACGAAGGCCATGGTTTCATGCAACGACTGCTATGCCAAAAGTGCTGTCCAGTACCACTGGCTTGGGCTGAAGTGCGCCATCTGCGACTCCTACAATACCGCCCAACTTTCCATATTAAGTGATCCTGCTGTTGAGGTCCCACCGCTCGAAAGCCGAGAGGTCGAGACCAGTGTAACACCTGAACCGAGTAGAGACAACCTCTCGCCTCCACAGCCTAGTACTGGACTTGTCCGTCACAGGAGACATTCTGCACATGTTCAAGTCTCGTCATCATCAGGAGAATCAGCCCGCTTCGCCCCTTATGCCCGGCGCCCCCGCATCGGCAGATCCGTCTCTCCGGTAAGGGGACTTGGATTCTTTCATGACCCAGTATCATCTCAAGCTCTGGAGACGGATGATTCCGTTCATGGCGATGATGATTTGGATTTCTGGGGGAGAGACGAGCCTCGGAGTGTGACCTCAGTGGAGAATATTGAGGAAATGGGAGAGGAGGAAGAATCAGACGATGATGATTCGGTGATGGGCGACTGTGACGATGACGATGATGTTGACGACGAGGATGAATTTGAGCTTTTCGGCCACCGATGATTTTTGATTTTGGCGTTTTGCACAATACATGCATTGGGGTGCGGAGGGTGGAGGCATCAGGCTCACACCACAGGAGGCTGCGTAGGGAGTTTTGGGTATGGTAGAGGGCGGGAGGGAGGGAGTTATTAAGGTGCAACCCCGTGATTCATGAATGCTGGGCCGTGAGAGATATATGTGCTGTACGGCCAGCGTCTGACATTGCGCTTCATACTTGATCAAGACAGAGCATATCCAATACCCAAAAGGCTCTGCGGTTACAATCAATATTTCGTAGCAATCGATCGTTCTTTTGGAATTTCTTATTCTTGTTCACAGACACGGGGGAATTGGCACCATTGAGATCGTATAGGTAGGTGTGTGTGCTCAGTCTCGGAAACAAGTGCTCGGATTCATTCAGGCGCTGGGTGATGATACACAGACAGGTCCACCACAACCCAGCATCCAACGAAGTTTCGGAGAAGGTGACGAGGGGTATTGACGAATGTCATTGGGACTGGAGGTAGGTTGCGAGCCTGGCCGTAGATGTATGTTTATATATATATATATATATACATATATATTTAAATTTTTTATTTATTTTTTTCATTTACTTATTTACTTATCTTTTGAAAATAGGAGATAGAGTTGGTAGAGCGAACCTACCTTACGAAGTACGGAGATCTACGGAGTATGGAGCAGGAGTGGCCGAAAGCACGCTAACCGTGATTGGGCTGGCTATCGGTGGGTGTGAATGAAGGGCGTGGAATTTACAGCCCAAAACCCGCACTGCGAGCGAACAAGTCCGCAGCCCAGCCCAGCCAGAACAATGATGGCACGCTTAAATAAAAGCAAAGTCTCCTTCCACTTCTTTCCCTTCTTCATCCCCATCCCCTTCCCCTTCCCTTCCCCTTCCCCTTCCCCTCCTCCCACTTCCACATCAAATTCAAAATCAACATCAACATCACTCTACCTTCACCTCCAACCATATCGCGAGATCGACGACCCATCACTCTCAACTTGAAAAAAAAAAAATACTTCGAGTCCTGACTTCAACTTCAACAATAACAAGATACCCATCACGAAGCCCCCAAGTCCCGGCAATTCGACGTCGCATCCCTCGTTGCGACCTCTCCCGGTTTTCCCTTCTTCGCTGTCCCATCACCACGAAGATCACCGACTACCGACCACAAGATGCCTCCCAAGCCTCCCGGCGACGCTTCCGCTCGACGCAAATCGAAAAGTAGCATGATCGCAACGCTGAAGCTGTCGCCCAAGCTTCTCTCCACATTTGCCCCAGCTGCCCCGGTCAAGGAAGAAGAGAAGGTGGATAAAGAGACGTTGCCTCCAAAGGAATCGGTGTCGACCGTATCGGATCCCCCTCCTGTTGCGACGGGCTCAGACGAGAAGGCCCCTGACTCTGCTACGCCGGCTGCTGCTACCCCTGTGCCCTCATCCTCAGCGATGCCTCCACCAACAGAGGTGCTCAAGAAGAAGGGGGTGAAGAGAGCTGGTCCTGCATTGGGCCCTGATGGACTTCCTAAGCCTCGAGGCAAGCCAGGCCCCAAGAAGAAGGCAAGATTGTATGTGTATATTCCCCTGCCTCACTCCCCTCGGGTTTCAATCGCAGATACCATCCCTTCGCCATCCCCAACCAGAGATCTATGCGATCAAGTTGTCTGTGTAGTCATTTTCTAATTCTTCGTTATTAGGGAGGATGGCTCGATCGATCACTCGGGTACCGCCCCTCGAGCACCAAATGGAACTGCAGCCCACAAACTCGGGCCAAAGGCAAACCAAGGAGCCATCAATGCTGGTCTTCGTGCTCTGGACCGCTCAGGCAAGCCGTGTCGCAAGTGGCAAAAGGGCGCATTCAAGCTGAAGAGCTTCACGGGTGTCGTCTGGGAGATCCCTCGATGGACAGCTCCACCGAAGGTCACGGTCCCGCTTACAACGGAGAGCTCGATCTCTGGAGACAGCAGCAAGGAAAACAAGGAGAATAGCCAACAGGAGAGTGGAAACAGCGAGAAGAGCAATGATGTCGACATGAAGGGTAGCATGAGCAACCTCGTCTCATCGCCCGCTCCCTCACTTCCAGCACTACCCCCAGCTCCGGTTCGAACAACACCCGCCGTCGAGGCTTAAAGTCACTCATGTTCCATGACCCTCGCTTTCTTCCCCTCCTGTGTATCAATACATAATTTTTTAAATCACGGTTCTCTTGGCGCGGCGGCATCTGATCAGACATAGTGGCTGGAGTTACGGACACCCGGCTTGGACGTCGACCCATGGAAGGGCCTTGGGACATGAATTTTTGTGCCGCTATCTGGGCACTACAAAAATACTCTGGCGTTGGAGGGCACCTTCACGGTACGGTGCTGGGTGCGGATCTTGCCTTGTGGCGTTGGGCTTTTTTCTGGACTTGGACTGGCACTGTATCATAGAGGAGACCAAGATATAGAGACAGTTTTATAATATCGTCCGCGAGAGTTTAAGTGTAGATTCTCTAAACTGTGCTTCTTAGTTTGTGCATATCGGGATTCTAAGGCCTTTCGTGACCTCTGCATTCTGGCCAGCAGGTACATCTTCAGGGGACGCCATGGCCGTGATCTCGTGGGGATTTGATCAGCTACGAGCTGATGGTCAAAACCCCCGTCTCACTCCTGTCCAAGTCACTCTGTAGACCAGCTATCTCTATTCCATCCGCACGCACGATTAACTTGTAAATACCCAAAAGAGTGGCACACTAGAAATTCCCACGGTCTTGTGACAGCCACAGCCGCCCCACTACTTATTCGGCATTGACAGTACAGAGTCAGTAACAACCAACCGACCCCATCGGCGCTGCGACCCAAGCTCAACCAAACAAACATTCGATAAACCGATGTCAACGGAACCAAATAAAGTTTAGCAGACAATGGAGTTAGCAGCAATATAACTTTGGGAGCAACGATCATATTCCACATCAGATTCCCAAGAGATGAACGATTTCACCACGTCCGACTCCCCGCGCCATAGTCCTTGATCTGCGGAGTCAGGAAGCACCTTTACTCCGTACATCAACGAAGATCTGGAGTACCTCAAACAGCTACCCGACAGCTATCCCACCCCTTCCTGCAATTCCGTTAGCCGCTAAGATCCCCTGGTACCAAATCCAGACGCCTGCAATGAGTAGCTCCAACATGCCCACTGGAGCGCCTGGATTCGCGCCACGACGGTCTTCTTATGCCTCGGTCGTGTCTGGCATACCCGCAGGAAATCAATACCCCCAGATCCTGAGATCTGGAGCTTTCTCTCACTTGACCAACCCAGACGCGGACCTAGGCTACGATTCTACCTATCAACACTCAGGTGGATACCCACGAACCGATCCTCGAGCCTACGATATGGATTTCATGGCAAACTGGGGAACACACACGCGGTCTGGGTCTTGGGGTCGTGGTGGACAGCTCCCGAGTTTCTCGAGTGCGTTTGGACCTCTCATGAACGGGCATGGCTTTGGGACTCTTGGTGGTGGACATCCGGACCATTTCTTCACACCGTCGTATCTAAAGGGATCGAAATATGTTCAGAGACTGGAGGAGGCGCACAAGGCGAAGATGGCGGCGCAAAAGGACGGTCACTCTGCGCACTCTTCTCAACCGGGCTCCCTCTCGACGAGTGCTAGTAGTATAAATCTACATACGAAGATGGCCCCTTCACACCGGGGTATGACCTATGATCTGATAGAGAAGGCACCCCCGGTGGATGACGATACGCTGGCGCCTCTGCCGACCAAGTGGAATAGTCAGGACAAGTACGGAGGGTTGGAGGTGTTGTCCGACGGACAGGAAGTCAAGTTCACAGGGCCGAAACCCGATAGGGAACGAGATCTTGAAGCTTGTGCCATACGAGCGGATCATCCTATGCCTCCCCAGTGCGGAATCTACTACTTCGAAGTGACTATAATTTCGCGGAAGAGAGAAGAGTATGGATTCCTCTGGATCGGACATGTACTGCCATCTTTTTCTAACGCCTCTGTAGAAGTTCTATTGGGATTGGATTTTCCACTAAAAACGTACCGTTATCGAGGCTACCTGGTTGGGAACCAGAATCCTGGGCCTACCATGGAGATGACGGACACTCGTTCTGCTGTAATAGCTCAGGTAAACACTATGGGCCACCCTTCAACGCTGGAGATATAATAGGATGTGGAATAAATTTCAGAACGAACTCGGCATTTTTCACAAAGAATGGAGATCATCTAGGTTCGTTCTTGCTGCTTGGGAAATAAAGCGAGAGTGCTAATTGTATCAGGTACCGCCTTCCGTGATATCAACAAGGAGAAACTATATCCTTCGATCGGCATGAAGAAGGCCGGAGAGCACATACGAGTAAATTTTGGTCAAAGTCCATTTGTCTTTGATATGGATGGCATGATGTCGGCAAGTAATAATTTCCTTTATCCCTCAACCCCTCCGGCTCCTGGCTCTGGCGAGGACAACCCTCCTGATGGATCGAATGGCGCTGCTACTATGAGTGACGGCATAACTACCTTGAATGATACGGGAATGCTCAATGCGCAACATTTTTTCGTGCGTGATCAGCAAAATTTATCACAAAGTGAGGAGGACATCGAGAAAGATGAGGAGGACGAATACGATGATATGCCTCCTCTGGTTGAGGCTTCTGCAACGCCAGCCCCGCCGAACAATGAGCAACAGTCTCAAATCTTCCCCATATTTACGAATCGCTCTGGGCCCCTATTCTCTGTCCCATCGATACCTTCTTTTCCGCAATCGTTGACGCTAAGATTGGTGAATGTCACCAGGCCGCCTGTGACAAGGTCGGCAACAATGACAGAAGTTCACACCGGTCCACCGTCTTCTACCAGCCTTACAGCCCGCGCCACAACCTTCCTCGAAACCGTTGGTGCCGCAGGAGATACAGATCATATCAGGAGGAACAGAACAATTCTTCACTTGGGTCTGGTGCGACGAGATGCACAGAACATGCCCCTAGAACCAGATGAACGGCTGCTGCTGCAATTGGCCGCTACTGCTGATCAGGCACGAGCATCAATTCCCGGAGAGGCCGACTTCAGAACTGCCTACTTTAATTTTCGATCACTCGAACGCATCGTGGAGATGATTAGAGACCGAGTCTGGATAGCTCGGTCCGGTGCTGGAATCCAACATGCAGATCACGAACCCATTCTTTCAGCCTACGCGCCGAGCCCACCACCAAGCTGGGAGGGCCAAACACTTGCGCGACGGAGGGCAATGAGCATCAATGTAAATCAGCAAAGACAACAGCGGCAATTAGCTCCAGCTGCTGAGTTGGTAGGAGATGATGCACAGTCGACTGGCCTTCTCGCACGAAACCCATGGGCACCGGCTGGAAGTGATCAGTATCCCGCTCCATTCGAGGGAAGGCTGTCTGACGGCAGGAACATCGAGATTGGTCTGGCTGGAAACGACTTATATGTCAGCACCTTCAATTCGACGACACCAAATGAACCAAGTGGCAACATTTTCGGACGCGTTTCACAGAACTCGCCACAGCCAGCCAGGAGATTACTGGAGGGGCAAATAAACATGTCTTCGGTGGCTGACTCTCAGAAACAGCTAGAAAAGAAGCAAATCAAACAACAGATTGAGATGACCAGTACAGCAAATCTTGCGCCTCCCTTGAGTGAAACGGACTTGATCCAATCATTGGTACGTTTCAAATTCCTGATATGAATGTGCTTTACCAAACGTCAACAGGTCCTTCAATTCCTTTCCCATGATGGCTATGTCGAGACAGCCCGAGCCTTCGCGGAAGAAATATTCGAAGAGAAGAAGGCTCTAAATTTGGATCCTAGCGAGATTATACAGGGGCCCGACGTGAAAGAAGACGAAGACGCGGGCCATCGTCAACGTGAGTTGCGTCAGTGGGCCAGGAAGAGCATGTGTTTTAACGAAATCCTAGGGATACGGAAGGCTGTTCTGGAAGGCGATATTGAAAAGGCATTCAAACATGCGCACGCTTTCTATCCCAATGTTCTGAAGGACAACGAGCATGTCTCATTCCGACTGAAATGTCGAAAGTATGGAAGATATCCCTCAATGATACCAAGGGCATGCTTCCTTGTACAGATGGCTGACTCGTGTATTAGATTCATCGAAATGATTCGCCAAGGTGCCGAAATGCAGAACTCTTCCCCGTCGAATGGCGCTCGGAGGAGCACTGGTCATAACGGAGACTGGTACGATGATATTATCAACCACGACATGGATTTGGACGACCATCAAAGCCAGAGCAACAGCAACTGGGACCGGATGGACACGGAAGAATCGTCCGAGAATCAGACGGAATACCATCAGCTTTTGCAGGACACACTAGCATACGGCCAGCTACTTCAAGCAGAGTACAAGGATGACCCGCGAAGAGAAGTTCAGAAAGCGCTCGAGGATGCATTTGCGTTGATTGCGTATCAGGATCCGCTAAATACCAAGGAAGTATCACACCTGCTTGATCCCTCTGGTCGAGCTGCAGTCGCGGAAGAACTGAATTCTGCAATCCTGCGTGAGCCGCTCTCTCTCTCGACTTCTAGGTGTATAGGCTAACAAGCAACAGTCTCTTTGGGCAAGTCTTCAACCGCTGCTCTCGAGAAACTCATTCAGCAAACTACGATTCTCCTTGAAGATCTTGGGGAAGGGGGCGGTCCAGGTGCATTCGTCAGCATCGACGATTTCGTCCACGTTAAGCCGGGCATCGAGATGTAGCGAGCGAATAGCGATCCGGGAATAGCGATCCGGCTGCCCATTCTTACACTTACTGAAGATATCTTTCACCGGCGTTACAAGTTTCTCAAATCAGCAAGCATGCATTGCGGATTGGTGTATGGGGTTTCCCTTGGCTGCGGTGCGAATGCATATTTCTACTCTTGCAGGTGCAGGTGGTTTATAATCTGGGCTTGGGATGGATTGCGGGCATGGTGGTTAATGGCTCTACGAGACACTATGGGCATCAGAGACTCTGCGATGTGTTGGACGACGTTATGGAAGCGAGCCGGGTTGGTCTGAGCTGAGCTGAGCTGAGCTGACGCAAATATGGCTAGGCTTTAGCTGTTGTTAGTAAGCGATATACAAGAATTCTACCTGCTCACTATTGTTTGGTTTTTTTTTTTTTTTTTTTTTTTTATTGTTGGCTGTTGGCTGTTGGCTGTTGGCTGTTGGCTGTCTTGAGATAGCAGCAGTGACAGCGAGTTGGGTCAAAATTTCTCCCCGGATCAAGCGAGTCCAGAATACCTTAAGCCAAGCTCTGCCTGTTCCAGAGTACCCCTCGGACCCTTCCCCCGTGAACTGGGATGAGTGTGGGGAGAGCAGGGGACAGCGTGGGGTAAAACGTACGGAAAAGTCAAAAGTTGCAACCTCGGTACTTACTTCTAGTATAATCAATAAACGACGAGGTCGCTTTCGGCTTTACCGATCGATGGATGGGCTTCTCTCCCTCTCCCTCTCCCTCTCCCTCTCCATCTCCATCTCCATCTCCCTCTCCATCTCCCTCCACCTCCCTCCATCTCCCTCCATCTCCCTCTCACATATGTATATGCTGCGAAAGACACCATTCACATCCACTTCCACTTCCACTTCCACAGCCAGAGTCATAGAATGTAAGTAATTGCGGGTAATCTCGAGACTCGAGACCCGACTCAAGACAAAACCGGGACAAGTTAAATCCTCCTTTCTCCACACTGACTCTGCCCAAGCCCGATCCCGTCCCTCAACTCAACTCAACTTATTATTAGGCTGATGACCGTAAAAGCAAAGCAAAGCACTATATTTAACGTCCTCGCCCTGCAATCCTCCTCGCCTGGAATTCTTCCCCGTCCATCCTCCCATCAAAGCCGACTTCCTCCAGACCCGGAAGAAGTTCTTCTTGCCTCTCATCACTTCTCCTCTTGAACGAGACTATTCCGAGAAAATTACCACTTTGTTACGCACAATGGAAGCACCACTCTCCTCCCCTCGCCTACCTTCGCAGGCACAACATCAAAACTCCTGCTTCTCTTCCTCAGACTCGTCAGCCCGCTCCAGCGAGCCAACCCCTGCTCCCCAAAACCAGCAGCAAATACCACAGCCTCCACCGGCTCAGCAACGTTCAATCGATGAGACGTCTCCATTCTTGAGGGACCTCAATCTGGTGGCTGAGGCTGCGAAGAGAGCGCAAATGGCGTGTCTGATGCGGGATTTGGAAGGTGTGGCGATTTAAGCGTTGTGAGGATAGGAGGTAGGATTGGATGCCTAGGGAGATACCGACGGGTGGTGTGGGACTGGGGAGTCGATATGAGCATCCCAATGCTTTGCGGCGCGCACTTCTGGAGATCTCTCAATCTTCTTCTATCTCGCCCTACTCTTTGGAAAGACGAGAGACTTGATTCACATGGAACGGTACGGGATATAGGGTTTGGGATACACGTCAGCGGTCAATTGGAAGCACGAGCTGGCGTTGCGATTTCAGGATGACGGCGTTTTGGGGTTTATGTTTTACTATCAGCCACATTCATCTCTTGCTAGCTCGTACATGGTACGCCTCGTTTGGAGCAGAGAAGTGACGCTGTTCGGGCAAGGGATAAAGGTATCATCAAGTCAGCAGTTAGAAAACATCACTAGACGAAATACCCATCTGAGGTTCTGAGACTGGTGTGTGTGATCTTTGGTGGGTACAGGGGCAGGTACTTTTTGCACAGCTCGCGATTTTTTGGATCATCTCCAACAGTATGACGGTACCTCGAAATTTCGTACTACCTGTACGGTGAGGTTATCCTACATGCGGATGTGCCACGACCCACGACCGGACCCGGAGCATAGTTTCTCAACGCACCAGCCATGGATGGATGACTATCCGGAAAAGTCGGCCCCGAGTGAAGGTTCTTTGTCAATTGAGACGGCCGGAGCTCGGGGTTGCCAGTCGATGGGCACGGCTTGGCTGGATGGATGGAGCCTTGAATGTGCGCTCCAGGCAGGGTAGAAAGGTATACGGCATCGCATATTTGCTTCGAAGGATTATGAAGGGACGCCGGAATCGCTGTGCGCACCAACCCCCTTTTTCGGGCTCGCTTAAACTCGTCTGCAATACCTACACGGAGGAATACCAGCAGGAAACCGAGCTTGTAGGTAGGTAGGTACGTAGTAGCTCTTATCTCCGTCCTGAAGTTTCGGTATGCAGCACCTCGCTGTTGGTCAACCCTGTCGCCGTGGCTTCGAGGCGTGTCTCGTGTTTTGCAGAAAGGGTGTACGTATGGTAGTCTGCTGCCCGCTTTCTCTAGCGACATCGGAGGAGGTAGAGAGGAAAGGAGACGTCTCTGGCGCAGGCCGGATTCACGTGGAAATTACCCAGATGTCCCTTGTTCCCTCGTATCTAGGGGCTCCGTGCATTCGTTCTCACTCGGTGCTCTCTCGAGCATCGGCAACGGGAGACTGGGTGGGGGGTTTTTCTGGAGGGTTTTGCAGGGTCGACGGGGAGATTCTTGATACAGATTGCCTGTCCGGAGAAGCAGAGCTTAGGGGGAGTCCGGGAGATGTCAGCACGAAATGCAGGTGCAGGTGCCATATCTGGTCGGATTTGGCGTGGACAAGACGGCTGCTAGAAAAAATGATTTGGTCCTGAGTACCTATCATGGCCTGAAGCTGACGCTCAGTTTTCAGGTAACGGCTTCTCAACGGCTCACGATTGTATAGGACGCCTCCGTCTCCATCTCCGTCGCGAATCAGAGTAACAGCAAAGGCAGGTAGTAGTGCAGTTCACGAGCGAGTTCGTTGCAGATGCACTGGAACATTAAAAGCAGTTTAACTCATTATTCATCGCCTGTAAATCCACTAGAAGCCGAAGACCCATGTTCTATAATCTTGAACCCGATTTAATGCATTGTCCTTAGCCTGAAACCCCCAATGTACGCCGATGAACACTCTCCCTCTTATGTCTTGCTTTGACCGTGATTGTCCGCTGTACTTTAACAGCTAAGGCCCAAGAAGCCGCAAAGGCCACCCGACTTTTGGGGAACCTGAGGTGCCTAGAGATATATCGTTAGCTTACAGAGTCTCATGGCGTCACCTATCTGCGAAAATAGGCAGTTGGGGCTCATCTTGATTTTATGCACAAGGAACATCAGGAGTATCAAGAGGCGGGAAAAGGCTTACCAAGGTCGGCTGTGGTGTGTTCTGTGACAAGAGTCAGCTTGATATTCTTCTTTGACATGACCGGAGACTCTTCTGGGAGTGGAGGGCCAGGAAAAGGACCCTGCCGCATTGAGGATGTAGAAACTTACAGTAGAGGTTCGGGGCCTTCGGTTTTTCGTCTTCTTGAACCTGTTCTTGTTGTTCGCACCGGCCTTGAGTCGGTTGAAGCCGCGCCCATTGGCGACGATGGCGGCCACGGGTATGCGACGAGGGGCAAGTGCTTCCGTGGACCGGGTTTGCAAGACATCTGCACGCTCCTGAAGCTCCGACATCTGAAGCTCCGACATCTGAAGCTCCGACATCTCAGCGAGAGGTGTTGTGTTGACGGCGAGCATCGCTGCCGCGAAGACGAGGACGGTTGAGAGACTGAATTGCATAATGACGGTAAGAAAATCGGCTTGAGGGTGGAGAGGTCTTGAAAACGAGTATATGATTAGGTCTACTTTAAAACGAGTATGGTAAACGAGTGTGGTGGTAAACGAGTGTGGAAAGCGAGTGTGGAAAACGAGTGTGGAAAACGAGTGTGAAAGCAGACGATGTGGAATCGAAAACATCAGCTAGATATGGATCATATATACTTCTTCATTGCTTAGGATGTTGTAAATAGAACTCTCGAAGACCAGAAAAAGAAGAGTCTATAATTAGACAAGAGAATGCGATGCCTTATATGAAACTATTAATAAGGCCTGCAAGGAAGTCATAATATCCTCGAAACTTGACAGAACGGCGCCCGGAGCTGTTGAGTCCGTAAGACTGACCCACTGCCTGTATTTGACTTCTAATTGGTAGAGATATATTGATTATCGCTCCAGCCTACGTAGTAATTTCGAGATCAATTGGCCTTTTCCGCAGTCAACGACGCACTGATCAGTTATTAATAAGCAGAGATTTCTACAGTACAGTAATGCACTCCGTACAAAGCGTTGCAGTCTCTTTCCCCTTTCCCGACTCAAAGAGATTAACGCATAGGGACACGTACGGTATCCTGGGCGCAGGAGGATCTTTTTCTGTCGAAAATCTATTTGGGCTAAGGATTAAATTTGCACCGCTTTGAATAGCAGGCCGGACACAAATTCAACACTACTCCGTGTACTTAAAAATGTAAGAGCCGCACCAGTAATCTACCGGATAAGCCTTGTCGGTACTATATTTGCTTTATACAGTAATAAGCTTCATATTTTAAAAATAATTCGATCCGGGTATCGCCCCAACTTTAAATTAGCTCCGCGGCGAACATGCCCGCTTCCGAGCTGCTTGGTCACGACAATAACTTGGCTTCAACTGTATCGACTATGCGAAGCTACGTACACTCTGACTGACTATAGAGTACTCGTACGGCCAGCATAGGTACCGGTATCTGTTCCGATGTCGAAAGCCATCCCAGATATAGAGTCAAATTTACTGAGTCTGAGCGCAGCTAACCATACGGAGCGTTAAAACTCCGTTCCCCAGTTTGAAAAGAACCTACCCCTTTCTTTGCCGAGCGATGTTAGGTTGCGACTCGGCCAAGAGAAACGTGACTCTCTGCAACTTATCTTGACAACGGTCGTGATATTTCTTTATCGGGACGAAATGCGACGCTCGGCTTCAATTCATGTTCCTGAAGGACCTGAAATGGCCTACAAAGCAAATTCAAAAAACGATACCTGCATCGATACCTTAAAGGCGCGGGGTCATTTGAGCGATCCTCTGACTCTCTTATTTACTTAAAAAACGGATATTAGACCGTTTAAAATCAGTACTATTTACAAATCAAGGATAGTTTACTCTTTTGATCGTCCCGGAGCTTAGGATCATTTTCTGGCCATCCTCTGGCCGTCCCCGTCTAGGTTTTTAGTTGGTTGTAAATATTTAAAATGATATACCGATACTGCCCGTTCTTAATGAAATACGACTAAAATATAAAACCCTTTTTCCAATAGTGTCGTTTCAATAATAATTTGATAGAATCGATGCTAAGGATTTTATCGGTATCGCTATTGCAGCTTAGATATAAACCCTTTAAAGAATTTAAAATCGAAATCGATTGATTCCATCAAATGTTACCCTGTGCCGGCCTATTATTACGCACAATAGCGTCGGTGGTAGCTGAAAGGAGGGGATAAGGCAAAAGCTAAGGGCCAAAATATTCGCTTACTAATTTAAGTTCTCGAGACGGTTTAAAGTTCGGGGACGGCCATAGGACGGTCCCAAATCGAGCTTAAGACGATCAAGGACTGTCTTTTAACGGAAGGACGAGCCTTTGTAAAAAATAGCTTAATTAATTAAAATGGATCAATTTTAGCTACGATTAAAATGATTTAAATCGTTTGTTTTTAGATTCTATTCAATCTCAAGTATCGGCCTAAGATGATCCACCAGCTATACTAACCTCTTAGGACCGTCTTTTAAAGAGACCGTGATCGGATTGTCAGCTGACCGTTTGAATACCTTAACCACCTGACTTTAATGTACGAAGGAAGTGTGATGTTGAAGCCCAGATTATTGCCGGATTTAATCAACCTCGGGCTAACTTTAGTCCGAGGCGGGCAGATCCGGCAGAATTTATAGGTTCGTCGTTGAATGCAGGAACGCAAAACCCGGTTGTAGTTCCGATTATCCATCCATTCTCGAACTGGTTCACAATGCCACCCAAGGAATCTACAGACCAGATACCGACCGAGATACAGACCGAGACTCCATTCTCGAGAAAAGTGGGTCAAGTGAGAGATTTCTTCTCGGTTCCCGCACCCATCAAGAGACTCTTCGATGTGGTGCCGGTCGTGGTATACCCGGCCAATGCTCTTCCACAGCGTACGCCCAAATCCGCCAGGATACCGAGTCTTTATATATTCAGTAAGGAGTGGGACGCTGCGGCGGGAAGGCCCTCGGTCAATCCTAGCTGTTTGAAATGGCAGGTCAGTTATGCATATTCTGCTTCTCTTCGTAACTCCCGACTCACAGCTGGGTAGACTTTCTTGAACATAGCAGGCATTGATCACCGCCTAATATCCTCGAACAACCACGCCTCTCCCTCAGGCTCCTTGCCCTTCCTTCTCCCGGCCGCCCACAGCTCGAATGGCGTACAGGAGAGCCCACTCCCAATTGCTTCCAACAAGTTTGTAAAATACGCTGCAGAACATGGTGGCAGGGTAGACGAGCCAACCAGCATACGTTACCCGGCATATCAGTCTCTACTTGACCACAGGATAAGGAACGCTTGGGTACGCTTTCCAAGAAGAAAAAAAAAATCTGATTTTGCGACTAGTACTAATACCTATAATAGCTCTTCACATTGTACCTCGAGCCCCTCAATTTCTCGGCAGTAGCATATCCCATTTACGTCTCTTCAACCTCTTCGAACCCGATCGTCCGAGCTTCACTATCTCATCAATTGCAAGCAGCAGCCGAAGCGGAAATTCTGAAACAAACACCAGTCATAGACTCTGCCGACCTATACAGTGAAGCGGACAAGGCTTTTGAAGCACTTTCTATTCTGCTTGGGGAGGACTGGTGGTTTTTTGGGAACGACAAGCCAGCCTTATTCGATGCAAGCGTGTTTGCTTACACTCAACTACTTCTGGACGATGATCTGGGATGGAAGGAAAAGAAGCTCTGTAGGGCGTTGAGAGCTAGAGAGAACCTTGTAAAACACCGTGAGAGGTTACTTGTAAGATATTACGGCGGATGATGAATAAAAACTTCCCTACCAATATCACTTCTCGGGCTCTGATGGTCATCCGTCCACTGGGCACATTTGATGGCGGGTTTCCAGCTCGCCCAGCTCGCCGCTGTGCTGTCGCAAATTAGGAGTGGTTATTCATGGGTTTCGCAACGCCATTTCAGTCTACCGGAAAATATAGCCAGGTGAGGGGTTCTCTCGAGGGAGGCGATCACCCTTACGAGTAAGGACTCGGGAGATCAGAGGCGTATACGATATTGGCGTCTCACGCCTTGAATCCATCACGAGCGTGAGTGAAAGTCGCCAATTTTTATACTTCTGTTTGCGTCGCAATGCCCAGCTTTCGGTTGATTGCCTATCCGTGATGGCTGAAGCATGCCGATGCCGACAGTGTGACCAACCTTCCTCTGATCTTGCCCGATTTCAGACGGTGGGCAGTGTTTACAGAGAAATCCTTTATATTGTTCTCTTGGCGAGAACCAACAAACAAACAAACAAGCCTTGGAACCGAGTTGGGACGGATGAGGTGACTGCTCGGGCCGCAGTTCACAGCACTTTTCGCTCGCTTGGCTGTCGATCTCTGCCACTTCACGTTCACTTACTGGGCCTCTGTGTAATTTCACTCGCTACGCTGGTCTTCTTATTCGTTGGTTGCCACAACACACAAGTCAGCTTTTGTCTGTTCGCAGTCTTTTCCTGCCGAGAGACCAATGCACCCCAGATGCAGGTGCCGGTGCCGATGCAGATGCAGATGCAGATGCAGATGATCAACATCATCTCCTAAGTAAACTTCCGAAGTCTTGTATTAGACGCAAGCAAGCCTTTGAATCCGCCTCCGCCTCCGCCTCGGTCTCGGCCTCGGTCACTTCTCTTTTGATCGCGCCCGTCGCCTCTCAGCTATTCTTTCAGACAAAGTTTTCGTACCGAAGATCTTCAGCATGAATCATCAACTTCTACTAGCCCAACTTCGCCCTACATACACAGAGCGGGGTTGCTTCCGTATAGACCCAGTATTGGAGGGGCTGTGAACATACCGGTCCTGGGCGTGGGCCTAAATCAGCCAGAAGTCTTGGTGGGCAAGAGGAGACTTGCTTTGTTTGTTGCCTCGGTGCAAATGGCAAAGGGTAAAGGGCAAAGGGCAAAGGGCAAAGTGCAGAGCTCCTTCCTATATAACATGGCCCACCATCCTCACCAGCTCACGTTCTTGCATACTTAAACCTCATCCCTCATCCCCCATCCTCTTCTCTTGACCAGAATCTTTTCTTCACAAGAACCTCCCCAAGAACCTCAGCCCTCGCAGAACGAAACAGCATTTTCTCAACCCACAAGCTTCATCATCACCATGAAGTTCACCACCGTCGCCTCGATCGCGACCCTCCTCGCGGCACCAGTTCTGTCGGCTCCCACAGACTACACTCCCCCAGGCGGATGGGAAAGCGTCGACTACCCAGATGGTACTGGCGAGAATCTGGGGTATTACCCACCTCCGCCAGGAGGATGGGAGAATGTGAAGTACCCTCCTGGTACCGGCTCTGGTGCCGTCGCTGGTACCGGGTCTGGCCAGAAGGATCAACATGAATACACCAGTACTTTTGCGATCGTGGCGCTCGGGGCCGAAGTTCGCAACGGTACAGCGCCTGCTCCAGGCCCAGCCGATGCAAAGGGACTCTTCTACTATGGCCTCAACTCCAAGACGGATACCATTTGCTGGGTCCGTTCATATCCCCTCCCCTCTCTCCCTCACTCGCTAACCATCATGTAGGAGATCATCCTTTACAATGTCATCGGGGAGTACCAGTCGCCGGCCCGTACCGCCACTCACATACACGAGGCGGCGAAAGGCGCTTCCGGCCCGCCCCGTTTAGCCTTCCCCAACCCAGTGGGCGACGACAAGAAGCGTGTTAGCACGGGCTGCATGACAGCACCTTTCACGACGGGTGTCCTCGCCAATGGTGTAGATACGGGCACCGGCTTCAAGCTTGCGCAGATTGAGGCCAACCCTGCCGGCTTCTTCACTGATTGTCACACCAAGCTATTCCCACTTGGTCTCGTCCGAGGACAGTTTGCTTGAGAGTCGGAGGGGAGGAAGCATAATTCGGGGAGGGCGAGTAATAGAATGAAAAGTTGACACGGGGGATGCACGGCGGGTTAATGTACTTAGTCCGAGCCCTTGTGCTACATGAATACAATGTTTAATGCTACCACTATCTTGGGATGTTTGTTATTTGACTCGGGCAAGATCTCGTCGAGCAAGGTATCCTCTCGGAGCAGGGACTTTGGGTGTCAAGAGTGACTCGGTACTAACAAAATATATATATATATATATATATATATATGTATATCATTTACCCCGATGTATATCCCCAGAAGCTTGTCGAGGCCACTCCCACCAGCCTTTCAAAACACCTCCTCCTGCCGCAAATTCGGGATTCGGGGCCGAGTAATGTCAACCTGGAAGGCGCGACAGAAGCCCGAAGGGAAGGCTAGGCACCGGCCCCAGCAATCACCCGTTTGTACGGTAGTCCGTTTGTATTTTTCCTTGCTCGACGAGCACGTGCTTCTGCTTCCGTCGGACGAATCGATCTATCTATCTATCACTCGGTTCGGCGCTTGGGTTGCTGTTTTTTGTTTTGTTTTGGTTGACGGCTGGTTGACGGCTGACTGGTTGACTGGTTGACGGCTGAATGACTGGATAACGGCTGAATGACTGGTTGACTGGTTGACGGCTGATTGACTGGTTGACGGCTGAATGACTGAATGACTGGCTGATAGACGGATGGCTGAATGATAGTTGCGAAGAAGAAGAAGAAGAAGAAGAAGGAAATGTTCTACTGGCTGACGGTTTCGGTGTGGACTTCACTGGACTGGATTGGACGGTACTGCACTATACTGTACTGTACCTAAGCGAGCCGACGATCAAGGGAGGGGATAGATACGGTAGATAGACAGATAGACAGACAGGCAGACAATCTTCGAGCCATATCTTCTTCAGTCCCCCTTTTTTCCTTTTTTGCCTTCTTCCTTCTTCCTTTTCCTTTTTTTTTCCCCCTTTCTCTTCTCCCTCTCCCTCCCTCCCTCCCCCTCTCAAAATCAACAATACAAAATACATCAACTCACCACAGATGAAACAAAACGCGCCTTCACACCTCTCTCTCTCTCTCTCCCTCCCCACAAGCACCCGAGCTGTTCTCATTATTCAAGAGAAGTGTTGCATGCGTGCAACGCTTACTTACTCTCCCAGATGGGGGAGGGGTTTCCCTGATGCCTGCCCCGACGTGCTATACCTACCTACCTACCTACCCAAGTAAATGCAGCAAGGCAGGGCGGGGCCACTCACTTCTGGAGAGGTGACCTACCGGTACCTATCGGTAGGTACCTACCGGACTTGAGGTAGGTGGGTAGGTAGGTTGGGGTCGTGGGATGTCGTATATAGAGATATACATGTATACATATCTATCATCTCAAAGACGTCGCGGACCCAACTGATCGTGGATGATGGATGGGAAAGGAAGAGAGAGAAGAGCTCTTTGCAGGGACCCCCCGAAAG